ATGATGTATACAATGATGTCTAAAGAAGCCCAATTATACCCTTCTTCCCAGTTATAATGTTTCAAGACTTCAATAACATGACCAGAGTCTCTAATATATAATGGAAGTTGACAAACCATTGGTTGAAGAAAGATATCAATGTATTTGGATAGACCATTAACCTCCCTAGCGGTCTGATTATGTCCATATTTCTGTGCTCAAAGTGGTACATTTTTTTTGCATGGAAATATGTATTTTTTTTTATTGTAGGCTGTAATTTTTAGGAATAACTCACTGAAATCTGTCCGAACAAGAGTCTAGTAAACATCCTGGGTAGGATAAAATTTGGAACACGAAATTCTAATTTAATAAATAATCATAAAAAAATAATAAATTGAATTAAATAATATAATCCAACCAAAAACACTGAAATTTGAAATATAGTAGCGCCAAGTTTGCACATCGCTGAGCAAAGTCGCAGAATAATTTTCAGTGTCTGATGGCGAATTTCCCCACGAATCATTATCACTCAATTCTGCAAATAGTTTTAATTTAATTAGACATTTATATATAGAGACCATATATAAGGTGCAGCGCTATAATAACATATAAAAACACAAAACACAAAAGTGCCAGTATCAAATCACACTGCGGTGAAGCTAGGTGAGATGAATAATAGTCTCAAAATTAATCAGAAGTGGGGATCCAAACGATCCTGGTAGGTGCGTGGGATAAGATTCTGTGCAGCACACGGTGAATCGGAGGTAAGGATTACGCACTCACCAGAAGTGCGTCAAAAAAACGCATGTAGGTTTTATCCTGTAATATCAGAAAACGATCATCCGTTGCCAAGATAGGGATAGAATCCTACACCTTCCAGATCGCCCCTTGGGTATGTGCTTCAAGTTTCATAAGCGCATCTCAGGCATATCACCATCCGGGGTCCCCTTTTAAGGCAGATTCTGCAAGTGGGGACTCTCATAGAAGAGAGCCCAATAAGGGACACCACATAGTGTAATACCGTATGAGCTAGGTTTATTCAAGATGAAGCATGAGAAAAATACACAGGAGTAAAGTGGAACACTGACCAGATACTGTAAAGGATGACCACCAGCGGTGGTCGGACGTCCAGATAATGCAGCCCCGCTGACGCGTTTCGTGCAGTGCACGTTATCAAAGGGTCCTGGGCTTGCATCGTCGCAGAATAATTTTCCCACGAATCATTATCACTCAATTCTGCAAATCGTTTTAATTTACTATCGCTGTTCTCTAGCTCGTCTCAAACCACTTTTGACCTAAAGGGACGCTGTTTGGACACCATGGACATTTGTCAGTTTCCAGGCAGAAAGAACAGTAAAAATGCAGGCAGGGCCCAGGACAAAGCACTAGGGACAAAATGTATGTGAAATGGTTTGATAAAGGAATGTTTTACTATGTGATTTTAGTGAATGTCACTTTTACAACTTTCAAATTTCCCACCAGTTCCGTCCCCTGTACGTCCCAACGTCGCAGGGGACGGAACCCAGATAACAGATGCCGCATCCGCCGGAGGACATTGCCTGGGACACTGCAGGGGGGACATCGCAGGAGTGCAGGACAAGGTAAGTGAAGACGAGATCCCGGAGCAGCGCTGCAGGGTATTCACGAGTGTAGCTCGGGGTTACTGCTTGTGGTACTGAAACTTTACCCCGATCTACACTTGGGAATACCGCCAGGGAGGTTAATGAAGCTGTTGGTGCTTGCTACCATTGGTCTTCCTGGAGGATGATCTTATGATTTGTGAACTTTAGGGAGACGGTGAAAATAAGGGGTTATTTTCTATCTAGTTTCATTTTACTTTCTATATATTTGTTTAATTCTTATTTTTATTTACATTTTCATATGTTTTAATTTTTGGTATCTAATGAATTTTGTGTAACAACAATTTTTTACATTTTTTTTTTTTTTTTTAATAATCCAATGCTTACTAACAAATGTCATCATTTTTAATTTTCAGTTTTTAATTTTGAGTTTCTATAGCCCAATACCATTTTATGTATCTTTTCTAATTCTTGTTATTGTATAAGTTCCTCTATACATAATCTTACTTATGGATGATTATAATATAGACAATTGTGTATCTGTTTATAATGGGTTTTACAAATGTAGTGGTGGATTATCATGTTTTGTTCCGCCCCTTGTTAGCGCAGGCCCATTTGTTGTGTTCCTCTATGTAAGCAAGCTTGTGGCCACTGAGATCCATGACTTGAGAAAGCGCATGCACGCATTGTCATTACCAGCGATGCTTGCGGTCCAGCCTGGCTTAGCGGTTCGTTTCCATTTCCAGTTGGGACAGCTGCATCACTGTGATCACTTTTACCAAACATCCCGGCTCGGGGGGTATAGGTGAGCGGATATTCCACCTAGCCAGGCAATGGGTTCACCGCTGTTTCTGGATGAGTTTCCTGCTTTTAATGAATGAATTATTTATGGAATAAATTTATACCCCTTATGAAGCATATTGTGGGGTCATTATTGAACATAAGCTACAGCTTCTTCAGCACTGGTCTTTTTGAAATTGTTTATCACTGTGGTACTAGCAGCCAAGGGCAAGTGGCTCCCATACATTTGGACTATTAGCGCTTGGACTTTTTGCTTCCCTTGATTTTATACACTTGTGGCCATGGAGGTGATTGGAACACCTGAATCCAAAGATTTGGAGGGGTGTCCATTACAGTGTATATGCAGTAGGTGGTCTTTAACCTTTTCACGCCTGGCCGAACGCAAATGCGTGGCCTCCCAGCGTCTGGGCCTAGGCGATGAGCGGCCGCACATTTGCGTTCTATTAAAACAAATATATGTGCTGAGAGAGCGCGCCCTGCGCGCTACCAGCACACCTGTCTGGTACTCACGGAAAGATCCCGATCTCCTCTTTCAATCGGGACCTTTCCTGATCATGTCACGGCGATCACATGGGGGGGGGACCCTAAACCCCGCCTCCCTGCTTCTGAAACCTGGGAGGCGCTGGCGCCAACGGATTAATGTCAATTCCCTGCACATATGCATCCATGGAGAATGACTTCCTTTGCTGAGAGCATGCTCATCCTCAGCACAGCGACTAAACCATAGCAGGTAGCTCTGTTCATTAATCACAATCTGGAGCTTCCAGTTATGTGACCTCTATAATAGCCAATCACAGCAGTCACGTGATCACAAAGCCCACATCCAGCCCTGGCATTCAGATCCTGTTAAAGGGCAGGGAGGCAGCAGCAAAGGGTTAAGCTAGCTGTGTGAATGGGAACATGGAATAATTATAAAGTAGATGTTTGGCTTCTGGAATTTTGGCTGCAAAAATGGAAATCCACTTTAAATCTAGGACTGAAAAGAAAATGAAAATAAGAACCACATTGCGTACTTTAGTTCTGACAAACCATTTTTCTTTTCTACATGGTCAAACACTAGACTCGCAGTGTAAACAAAGGGACATGTACTTACTTTAATTAGGCTGTCCATCTTCCCTGCTGGATTACTGCAAAGTGTTATATGCTAGAGACACTTCTAGAAGGTTGTATTACTTTTACCTTTTGTAAAATGTACTCTTTCCCCAGGCACATGTGTTATAGTCTCTTTACATTCAGAGAAAAACAATACAAAATTTCTTTCAACCAACATGCAAGGCGAAAGTAAAAATGAAGGGGTTACCTCTTATGTGGCTATATATTTTGAGGTTCACGTTTTTGGAAACACATTCTATTTCCTCTGCAGTTCAGATGATCAGCTGATGGACTTGTAGTTTAAATGGACCATGCGTGTACTGATCAGCATGCTCATAGTCCATTTCCCTCCAGCTTACAAGCGGACAGCCAGTACACAGGTACAGCTGAAATTGCAGTGCAATACTTTGCAGACTCCAGTTAAATATAATAATAATAAATGCACATTTCTTAACCTGCCAAAATGTGGCTTTATTATTTTTTTAAGTAAAAGGTCAAATTAGCCTTTAACCTCTTCTCGCCGTTAGCTCCTAGCCCTTTAAGAGGATCTAAATGCTGGGAGGCAGAGGCGGGCATTCTTATAATGTGACCGCTTTGATTGGCTGTCACGGTGGTCACATGATTGGAGTCAGTAGATGAGCATACTGTTTGCTGAAAACAGCTTTTTAAACAATAGAGTATGTTTCGTATTGTTGAAGAAACATTACAAATATTTGCAGGGTGACGTCAATAGAAAATGCTCAGCCTAAATTTTTGAAAAAAATTTTTTTTTCCTGTTTGGAAAAATTGTGCTATAAGTTGTGGTTGGGTGTACTATATCGGGGTGCAGAAATTTTTGCCCCAGGGACTCGGTACCCCAATCTACTTGTCCGGATAATTTTTTTTTTAACCAAAACTGTATTTAAATCGGAGGTGATATTAGGAATATCTGGGGCTTTTAAAAACAAAAGGGGCTTTTTGGCGACTTAAACTTAAAATATTTTTAACATTGCGCTTTTTATCTCCTCCTCCCCTCCCTGCCTGTCTCCAGCACCGCCCCCCCGGGAACTAGCAGGGAAGGAAGAGACCTTGCAGTATAATGAGCACCGATTGGCTGCTCCTCAGGAAAGGGCTTATCCTTTATCCCTTTCGTTGCCAGAGCCCTTTTTGCATTTTTTGCCCAAGTTTAAAAAATAATTTTAGGCCTGAAGATTACACAAAACCCCCAAACATATATTTTCTGAAATCAGAGACCCTAGAGAATAAAATAGTGGTAGTTCCATTTTTTTATGCCGCATGATATTACCGCAAGATTTCAGTAAATAATACATGTAAGTTAATTTTAGGGCACAAAAAAAACAAAATACCCTATTTTTTTTGTAAACATAAAAGACGAAGTTGCACTGAGTAAATAGATATCCAGCTTGTCAAACCTTAAATTTGCGTGTTCGTGAAATGGCAACGAACTTCAGTACACTATATTTTCTATAGGTCGACATTTTTAAAGCTCCTTATAGGTCATCAGTTTAGTGTTACGGAGGAGGTCTGGTGCTAGAAATATTTGCTCTCTTTATTGATTACTGCTGCTGAATGCTTCCACCTGACAGGTGAGCCCGCTGCTTGCTCGCAGCAGGGCTAATGCAGGCCATAGATGGGTCGAAAATCGGCTGATTTTTCGGCCAAAAATAAAATCGGCCAATTTTCGGATCGTTAGTGGGCTAATTGTTCGGCCGTTTTTTGGTATTTTGGCAGATTTTTTTTATCGGTAAAGTTGGAAAAAAAATCGGCCGATTTTCGCGGCAATGATGGGCAAATCGGCTGATCTTTTTACCGATAAAAAAATCTGCACATGAGCAGTGACCTGCAAGAGGAAGAGGATGAAGAAGAGGAAGAGGATGAAGAAGAGGAAGAGGATGAAGAAGAGGAAGAGGATGAAGAAGAGGAAGCTGAAGCGATGAAGAAGAAGAGAAGCGGATGATGAAGAAGAAGCGGATGATGATGAAGAAGAAGAAGATGATGATGAAGAAGAAGAAGAGGAGAAGAAGAAGAGGAGGAAGAAAAAGAAGAGGAACTCCAGTCCGGCAAAAAATGTCCCTGCAGAGAGCTCCGCTATTTCTTTGACAGTTCCTTGACATTTACAGCGGTTGCAACAATGTATCTATTTGTTTTCGAATAAAAACATCTGTATCCTAAATGGATACAAATACATTGTTGCAACCGCTATAAATTTCAAGGTACTGTCAAAGAAATAGCTGAGCTCTGTGCAGGGACACTTTTTGGTGGCTGTAGATGGGATGAAAATCGGCCGATTTTTTTTTTTTTTATTTTTACCGTTGCTGGTAACGTCGGCCGCTTGAACGACCGATTTTTCGTTTTTTTTTTTTAAAGAAAAATCGGCCGATTTTCGACCCATCTATGGCCTGCATAAAGGTAGGAAAAAAACTACATGCCCGACGCCCAGAACTACATGTCCTGGGCATTGGGCAATAGGAATCAGACATCCCTGTATATAATATAGCATTGGGTATATTAATCCATTTTTATTTTCTACATCTTAATTTGTTTTTTATTCTACCTTTACAAGCAGGTTGATGTGTTCAGAAAAGTTACAGCACCGGGTACTTGTGTCATTAGAGTAACTGTTTTCTTATAGAAATGGCTTAAGGGTTTGTGTAGATGAAACATGCTTTCAGGTGCATTTATGATCCTTCTGCAAGGGTTTTTCTGACCTTTTTTAAGCTTTTGTATTCCCATTGACTGTTATGCCTTCTTCGCCCTAACTGCTGTTGCTGTCATTTTTGAAGGATAGCTTGGTTTGCTTGTAAATGTGTAGAGGCCTAAAGACAACAATTAATAGAATTGCATGCATTGACGGTGTACAGTTATTAGAATTGTTTCCTTGCTAACTCTGCTTCCTTCTTCATTTGTCTTGGGTTGCACAGCTGGAAGTATAGGCATTTGCACAAAGTAAGGTACAGAGATGGGTATCTGGATTAGAGATATAAAAAGGTGTACAGAGAGTTAGAGGAATTACATCCCCCATTCCCCCCTACATTTTTTTGCTGGGTCCAACCAACAAATCCAGGGTTTTTTTTTGGGGATGCACTGCTGCTCACCTGGTCCTGCGTCACCTTTTACAGATTCTTGTACCTGACTCCCTGATGATGCATGTCCTGCGCCGTGTCAGGGGGGTGGCTGCAAGAACTAGGAAGGGATAGCCAGTGTTCTGATGAAGTGCTGCGGCACATGCACTGTGGAGTACCAAGGGTTCTCCTGGGATTTGTGGCTAAAGATCCCAGGAGGCTACGGGCAGCAGAATGTCATGCTCACACTTTGATGTAATCAAGAATAATGCACTCATGAACTTTTTTTCCCCCCAAAATAGGTAATAAGAAAAAAACAAAAAAAAACCATGATTGTGGAAGAGGGGGTTATGAGTGGAATGGCAGACTGAGGGTGCGGAGGGTAAAAGTCTAATTTAAATAGCCACAGATGAAACAGTAACGCATACATGCATACACAAGCAATTAACCTGAAACTATATGAATTCAATGATGTAGTCCTTTTTGATGGTTGATGCATGCTTCTGCATGATGGAGTCCTTGCTTGGCAGACTGAGGGAGCAGACTTCACATGATCAAGTGAACTATTTCCTCCCACAGTTTTACTTCTGCCAACTGAGCATGCGCTAGCCGTGCTGCGCCCCGTGATTGGTCCCGTAATCTCTTGGGATCTCTGACATGTCCCAGGGGGCAGCGGGGGAAGAAGAGAGGAGGAACTTTCACGTAATTCGCCTAGGCAGCTGGAGCAGAAGTAGCAGCGGGTATCTTATTTTGCCAGATACCCTCCAAATACGGCGAGGGGGGGGGGGCGCACGAGGCAAAAGAGCGGAACTTCCCCTTTTGGGTAAAGTTCTGCTCTAACACTAAATGAATAAAGCTTTCATTCATATGTTTGCCTGGAGTGAAATCTATGCACTGTATAGGGATATACCAGTACCAAGTATTTTCACAACTAAATACGCCCCTGATACCCGAGACCGATATTTTGCAGTACAAAATGAATGGGTGCAAATCACAGTGCAAAGAATAGCATGCAATTTGAACAAGAATGCGGTGCGATTCCTGGCAAAATCGCATGTGGTTTCGCCAATGCTCCTGTGTGAACCCAGGTTTGTCATAGCCAGAGTTCACACAGTAGCAGTATGGGAAACCTCCCTGCAGGCATCCCATGCTGTCACATGAGGAAAAGCTACTTCATAGGTCTGGGGTTTCAAAATCCCAGCAGCTTTCTCTGCTCTCCTTGCAGCAGGTTAGACAACTTCTGATTGGTCAGCACAGCCACAGTAACCAGTCAGAAGCCATCTAGCCCATACTGCCATCCTTGCAAGAAGAGGAGAGAGAGCCACAGGGATTTCAGATCCCCAGACCTGTGAAGCGGCTTTTTGTTGTGACAGCATGGGATGCCTGCAGGGAGGTTTCCTGCACCTCTCCTGTGTGAACTCAAGCTATGACAAACCTGGTTTCACATACGAGCGGTAGGGAAATCAAATGCAATTTTAACAGAAATTGCACTGTATTCCTGATCAAATCGCATGCTGGTTTTTGCAGTGTAATTTGCGCCTATTTGTATGGACCCATATGTACTTGTTTGACAGAAATCACTTTGATATTTGATGTCACAAAAGATGTCTATTGTTGACTGTACTATTTTGTAGTTATAGTATGTTCACCATTAACAAGAAGACATAATAATGCCCCCAAGGTGTATTTCATATATATCGTAAAAGGTCGGTATGCGATAACCAACATAGTGATGTGAATGGGTGCAAGGCGAGTCGAGAGCAGAGGAAAGGCACCAAGCCTTTGATTCCAAGTCTTTCCTTGTTCTGTTCACATCAACAAGCCTTTCATTTGCCGAGTTGGAGCTGACGGAGCTAGCACAGAGTGCATTGCTGATGCCATATCATTCAGTCAAAGGGTATTGATACACAATGACTTGGGGGCACAAGTGGAGGGAGATGGCCTATCACCCTAAAATTCTTCTTGTGCTGCTTTGCACTATTGTTTGGTGTCAGATGATTTCCCACCAAGCTTGTACTGTTGGGGTAGGAGACTGGAAGGAAATTTGCTGCAAAGATTTGCTCTGCTCTTATTTATATTCCCCATGTCTGCAGTCCAATTAATAATAATAAAAAAAAGGCATGATAAAACGTTAAAGCGATTACTGAAGTTTTTTTGTTTTTTTGGGTTTTTTTTTTTGTAAAATAACAAACATGTTATACTTACCTGCTCTGTGTACTGTTTTGCACAGAGCAGCCTGGATCCTCCTCTTCTTGGGTCCCCCGCAGGCTCTCCTGGCTCCTCCTTTCTGTCAGGTTCTCCCAGCAGCTTGCTATGGGGGCACCCGCTGCTCCGTGTGTCCATTCACACATTGGCTATGGCTTGGCCCACCCCCTCTCTCCTCATTGGCTGTCTGGCTGTGATTGACAGCAGTGGGAGCCAATGGTTCCTACTTGCTGTCTTCGCTAATGAGGAGGCAGAGACCCGGGACAGCTGAGGCTGTTGTGCACATCATCACTGGATCTCAGTGGGGCTGAGGTAAGTATTGAAGGGGCTGGGGGCACTGCTGAACACAGAAGGTTTTTTACCTTCATGCATAGAATGCATGAAGGTAAAAAAAAAACTTGAGCCTTTAAAACCACTTTAACTACCAACCATCTCTCCATGTTATATACTCATTTATTGCTGTCACTTTCTCACACCTACGTGTGAATTTGGGGCAGCTGTTAGAAACCATGGGGCCCTGTACAGCCTGCCTGACAGGGCCCCCCTTCCCCCAGCAGTCACATGCAAACATACAGAGGATGACAGCTATCACACAATACAAACAGAGAGGATGAATATACATTCAGATGTGCAGATATCTTACACAGTAATGGTGGGAAAATATACAGGTTAACACACACATAGACAAGAGGGCGCCCATCCTTCACACAGCAGGACAGTGACAGGATACACAAATGATTCCCTCCCTGGCCTCTATATTACATACCCATAAGACCTGATACCCTGCTGTGCTTCCTCTGGGGATCTCCACACTTCAATCCCCCAATGCACACCCTTCTTTGGGCGGTGACCCCCTGGCTGAATGCTTCTGTACTTACTGACAAAAGTCCTTGCAGTGGCAGCTTCTTCCTTGGCACACAGCCAAGCCCATGGAGTACTGAAAGTGCACAGTGCCACCGCACACTCCAGTCATGGTGATACCTTCTTGGCACCATGCAAGTTGAGTCTGTGCGGGGTAAGCTCTGCACCATGCCACCTTCTGGGTGCGTCTCCCGATTTCCAGGGACTATCATAACATATGACTTTATGAGTCCTCTACTTCACAGCCAAACCTTTCCTTCCCTGCTGACCTGATGGGGCCCAGGCCTGGTATGTGAATTATGCCTGTACCTCTCTATTGGTGGCCCTGTTTGAACCTAAGTATTAAGTGTCTTCACAGATTTCTGGTTTGGGTGTTTTGGGTAATTGGCCTTACCCAGCTTTTTTTTTTTTGGTTTAACCGCTTCCCACCCACCACTATACATAAAAGACAGGTGTGACGGGAGCGACTTTTGGGGGTGGGGGGACCTCTGTATCATCTCCCCAAATCATTATGTTTAACCCACCCTGTGCCTGTTAAGGGTTACGGGGTGTGTATGTGAATGTCTGAGTCCTGTGTATAGTGTGTGTTACTTTGTCTAGGCCACATGGCTGACCATTGTCTGTTTACCATGTGCTACCCCCCATGGTGCTGTGTCTTCCTGTGCAGCGAACTATTATGGGATGTACTGTTTGTGTATTGGTGTGGGGGTT